CGTTAGTAAGATCTCGAAAACTCTTCTGTTTTTCCTATGATTTTAAAAGTGATTTCTAGAACACCCACAGGTTTTCCAGAGAAATAAGAACTTTTTTCCTGCATCTTCTGGATGATTTCCAAAGGTTTTTGATCTTCTGGAAATCGCTTAAAAGAACGTGGAAAGCGTTAGTAAGATCTCGAAAACTCTTCTGTTTTTCCTATGATTTTAAAAGTGATTTCTAGAACACCCACAGGTTTTCCAGAGAAATAAGAGCTTTTCCTGCATCTTCTCGATGATTTCCAAAGCTTTTTGATCCTCTGGAAATCGCTTAAAAGAACGTGGAAAGCGTTAGTAAGATCTCGAAAACTCTTCTGTTTTTCCTATGATTTTAAAAGTGATTTCTAGAACACCCACAGGTTTTCCAGAGAAATAAGAGCTTTTCCTGCATCTTCTCGATGATTTCCAAAGCTTTTTGATCCTCTGGAAATCGCTTAAAAGAACGTGGAAAGCGCTAGTAAGATCTTGAACGTCCTCCTTTTTCCCTACGATTTTTAAAGCGATTTCAGGAGATTTTCCGGGGTGTTTTCCAAAGCTATACTAGTGTCTGGAAAGCATTTAAGAGAGTGTGGAAAGCGCTAGTAAGATCTCGACAACTTTTCTTTTTTTCGTACAATTTTTAAAACGAGTTCTAGAACACCCACAGGTTGTCCAGAGGAATAGGAACTTTTCCTGGGTCTTCCGGATGTTATGAGCCTTTGGAAACCATTTACGATTGTAAAAGTGAATTCTAGTCCACTCACAAGTATTACGCAGTAATAAGAAATTTTCCAGGGATGTTTCCAGGGCACCTTCTCAAAACTTTTTAAGATTTTCAGATATATTTCCGGGGTTTATTAAACCACTTGACTTTGACTGGAATTTCAGAGCTTTATGGCCTGGAAATGGGTTTGAGAGATGATCTAAAGACAGTACCAAAAAAGAGCCTAGTGAGCGTCTCTGTACTCCTAGGGAACTAAGACAGAACTCTCGCAGATTCGTTTGGACAGCCTTCTGGATATTTGCCAGATCTATTTTCACAACATTTTCGATGCGTTCCATATTTTTTTATCCACGTCCCTAGTTCTTTTTGGAGAGATTTCTATCGTCATTCCTGATAAGGATCTACGCTCTTAAATGAGATTTTGGGCCCTTCCAGTACTTTCCTCTACCCCTTTGACAGCAACCTAGATCTTTTCTATTGCTTTGTAGGTTCGCCTAGCTCTAGAGAGGACCGCGTTAACAGTTTCAGAAAGAACCTGAGGGTAGCGCAAAGAGAAGGCTAGTGTCTTACATCTAAGCAATTGAAACACTGTTTCCTGCAAGCCTTTTTGAGTTTGAGTTTTCCTTTTTTTAATCATACAATGGTATCACTTTGTGTGATTTTTGGAATTCCTTTCCTGAACCGCTTTCACCTTGGACTGGGACCTTTGAAAAATCTCCGTTTAGCAACAAATTGGCGCCACACGGTAACCAGGCAAACGTGTAATTTGAAATTGTGATTTTTTAGAAATCCTTGATAAATTGAACGTTGCGGGTAATTAGGCAATTCATGAGACTAATTACGTTTGAGAAAATCAAACAATCGTTCGGTAATTACAAAATCCATATCCGAAGTTATAAAAATATTTTAATTAAATACAAGGTAATGAGAATGGAAAAATAGTTTTTTTTGCAACGCGATGGTTCATTTGAATCCAATTGCTCATTTCCGTCCAGATTTGGACGAATCGAAACTAGTCACATTAAGCGAGTGATGCAAAAATGACAGCATTTTAACCCAAATATTCGCAATTTCGAAGCAATTACATTGTTAAAGTACTCCCACGAATTTCAAAATGACTCCTTCCTTAAACACATTAATTTATGCTAACAAACATATAAATCTACTTAATCTATTTCTATTTTTCGCTTTGCTCTAAATCCCCGTTTTATTTCGAGTAAAAATGAGCCGATTTGGAATTAATTATCAAACGATAGTAATGGCGGACGATCCTCGCGAGGGAAATAGGTCAGACATTCAAAAGGACTCGCATAATGTATTAAAACAGCAACTAATTACAAAAAAGATTTACATAGCGCAAAGGGCGGTGTCCTTTTTAGCATTACCTATTGTCGACGGGAGGGAAAAAGGCGAAATTATTTCCATGGACTTCCGTATGCAATCTTTTACTCGCGAAACTGTAGAAATTTAATATAAGCCAAGTTTCTCCAACCAAACAAGGGAGGTTTTTGTTTTGTTTTGTTTTGTTGCCGATTATATAAGCCAACTCGGGCGGCGTAAAGGCCTTCCGAACGTCAAAATAATTCGCTCGGAAATTTGCCTCCCAAATCGGACACGTCTGTCAAGTGCATCGCGGACGTTTACATCAAAAAAAGCGATCGACGCAATTGAATGAAGCCGAAGAGAAAATGACAACGCAATGTTTTCATTAAACCTCGTGCCGGTCGCGAAAATAGTGGGCGATAATTAAAAATACCACGAAAAAAGGTGGGCGGGGGAGGTAATCGCGCCAATCACGCGCACTTTGTCAAGAAACTGCAAAAGTCTTCGGACTTTTTCACTGATTACACCGATTTGTACCGGTGGAATGAAATATTGAGTCACACTACAGGAAACCCAATCGCGGACTTTCTATAAATCGAGCAGACCATAAAAATTAGGCGCGTTTTTCACACTTAGGGTAAAATTTTGAGTACTAAATCGCAGGAAAAATTGCATCACGTCAACTCAGATCTCAATTATGGATTTTTTATGAATGAAACAGCGAATTATAACAATCTTTAGTTTTTTTATGAAATAATGTTTTCTTATAACCCCGTTTGGCACCCTTGAAATAAAATTTTGAGACCCCCTCCGTGATATATGCCCCCTTGTTCACACGTTGTGGTCAATCAATACTAGAAATCATAAAACACTGTAAGTGCAGTTATAGATTTGAATAAGGGGCATATACCACCGGGGGGGCTGGGGGTATGGGCATACCCCCAGCCAAAAGAGGGTAGTTTTATAAACTACATTTGGAGCAGTTCAAGTTTCTTTCCCAAACTAAATTTAACCGCAGGCATTCTACTTTATCGACAACAAACTCAAAATTAAAACTACGCTCTTTTGGCTGGGGGGTATCCCATACCCCCCAGAGGTGTATGCCCCTTATTCACAATCACAATGTATAGTATTATGCTAAATCAATAGTAGAACTCATAAACAGTGTTAAGTGTAGTTATAGACTTAAATAAGAGGCATACACCACCGGGGGGTCGGGGGCCCCCAGCCAAAAGAGGCTAGTTTTATAAACTACATTTGGAGCAGTTCAAGTTTCTTTCCCAAACTAAATTTAACCGCAGACATTCCACTTTATCGACAACAAACTCATAAATAAAACTACGCTCTTTTGACTGGGGGGTTTTCCATTTAATCTCACTTTGGCCGGCCGGCTGGCTGGATAGCAGCAAACAGACGCTCGTAGAACAACACGCTTGCAAAAAAAAACGAGGAGTGTACGTGTACGTACCGCGGCCGTTTAACCAACAATTTTAGGGACGAGGCTACATCTGAGTACCTTCAATTTTTTGCTATCATCTTCTACAGTTTTGGTCCGATTATTTTCAAATGGGTGTCGTCGGAAAGATCTTGTAAAAGCGCGCACGGAATTTTGTTTTTTTCCTAGGGGCGAAATCAGCCACCTTTAGCAAGGCTCACTTCGAGGGGTAGTCCAAAAGTTTCTTAACACACGAATCGCGGTCTCTCTCGTGTCTGAAGCTATTGAGAAGTGCCCCAAAAATTGATTACTATTTTGTGGAATGTATTGGGGGAAGTGGGTACTGACAAAAGGCCTCGACGAGTTGGAAATTTTGCGTTTTCAAACACAGTGAAATTGATCTAAAAAATGAGACGCAGTACACACTTGCGAAATGCTACTTTTCGTCAGAAATTCGGCCCTGATGCCACAGAAGCGCATAAAAAATGCGAATTATTTAACTAAAACTAAATAGAGCGTCACTTCTGCTAGAAAATAGATTGGATCCATCACATGTAAGTATAACAAAGCAATAAAAATACAAAACCCGCTATCGAATGTTCACACAATATTATTATTCAGATTCTTAAAATAAACTTTTTTTTAATTTTCCCCCACGTCGTCGCCCATAGCAAAATCCGCAATCGCGCGAGCGGGACAACGTGCCGCACGTACCGGAAAAGCATTCGCAATGACAAAAGATATCGCGTGTTAAGTATTGCATGTGTAAAAACAGCGTAAACTTTTTTATAATTCTAACTGTGATAGGAATCGAACTTTTCACGAAAAGCTACACGGTTTATTACGTCCGTACAACGCAGGGCTTTTTTCGCGACTACAACCCTTACCAGCAGCCCTATTAATATTGCCTATCATTATCTGCATTTCGATCGGCTCCAATCGATAATTAGCATGTAGGTACATGGAACGTTGGGGGGGCGGAAAAGAAAAAAAAAACCCGATCGCTCTTTGACTTTCGATAGAAATTCATAATCGCGATTTCCTAATTGTCGAACTTCCTTCCTCTCCATTCAATGATGATTCAATTTATTCATGTAGTTTTATACATTGTGGCCAACCAGTTACATCCGCGATATTAAAATGTGCCACGACTTCCATTATTATCAATTTCGAACCCTCTGTAAAAATAGTATAAATAAATCGGTTTTGGATTAGATCCAAATGACTCATTTCGATCTTTTGTGTATTTAAGACAGTCATGAGCGTATCGTTTTTACAAGTTTCCAATGCCGAGACAATTTGGCAGTGAATACAATTTTCGAATGTTATTGAATATTGTCAAACAATACAATTTAAGCTGAAATACGATTATACTTATAAAGATGTGCACGATCTTGGCAAGCTTTCGCCGATTTCTGTTTGCCAGGTCAATACTTGCCGCATTATTTATGTTTTTCTTAAGTTATGGAGTTGATTACCGTGAATTAGCGACAACGGACGTTTAGTGTACGTTTAATGGACGTTCACGCTTATACGTCCATCGGACGTACACTGAACGGAAACACACAGTACACAATTGCACGTCTTGTAGAATTGCCTTGTTGTATTATTTGTGTATATAAACAACTGAAATACAAGAGTAATATTAAGAGAGTTCCTTCATTGGTCCTTACAGACAGTTTTTCCTCAGGCAAAGAAACGGGGATACCGAATTTCGGACGTCCCGAAAGTGACCTGACCGACGAAAGAATAGCACATATCCTAAACGAGGCGTCGCACATCCAAATGAAAACGCCGTGCGAGGACAGCCACAGCAACGAGGACTCGAAATCGCCGCACGGGCAGTGTTCCAGTCCGTTCTCGCGCGAACTGCAGAAGCAGAAGCTGAAGAAGTACGAAAACGACGATATTCCGCAGGAGAAGGTGGTGAAGATCTACCAGGAGGAGCTAGCGAAGCTGATGGGAAAACGGATCGAGGACTTTCGACGGGACCCGTTTCCTGGGTGAGTTTGTCGTCGCCGATTCGATGTGGCTTACTAAACTCATTTGCAGTATGTTTTTTCCGCACCTGTTTAGCGGGGCTTCCATGGATCGGACGCAGGAGGAGATCCGCATGGCGCTCGACGCTTACCATCGGGAGCTGGCGAAACTGAACCAGTGCCAGAACCCGGCCCAGATGACAAACTTGGGTCTTCTGGCCTTGCAGCAGCAGGCCCTCGTGCATCATCACAACCCTTCCGTAAACGGTGGCGCACAAGACTTATCTCTTCCAAAAGACAAACCAAAGATGGTCAACGGTATCGAAGACAAAGAAAAAGACTGTGACGATAGTGTAAAACATTCGGGTAGTGCGTTTAGTTTAGTTCGACCGAAAATTGAACCGGGAACGCAATCGCAAACGACGAGCTCGACCGCTTCTAGTCCCCTAAGTAACAGTATTTTACCTCCGGCAATGACCCCAACGGACGATTTTGCAACGTCGGCAGCTGCAAGTCCCCTGCAACGAATGGCTTCCATAACAAACTCCCTCATATCGCAACCTCCGAGTCACCAACACCACCCTACGAGTCAGCGACCACTAAAAGCAGTTCTTCCCCCGATCACCCAGCAACAGTTCGACATGTACAACAACCTGAACACGGAGGACATCGTCAAAAAGGTCAAGGAACAACTGAGCCAATACTCCATAAGCCAGCGGCTTTTCGGCGAAAACGTGCTCGGATTGTCGCAAGGGTCCGTCAGCGATCTTTTGGCGCGACCGAAACCGTGGCACATGCTCACACAGAAAGGACGCGAGCCCTTCATCCGCATGAAGATGTTCCTGGAGGACGACAACGCCGTGCACAAGCTAGTGGCGAGCCAGTACAAAATCGCCCCCGAGAAACTGATGCGAACCGGCGGCTACGGAGGCACACGTAAGTACCCCCAACTTTTTCTTCGACCCTTTCAGCTAACCCCTAAAATCAACAGCGTGCGGCACGCCTCTGGGCAAGCCGATGCCGCCGACGCAAAAGATGCTGAGCGAAGCGGCCGGTTTCCTGAACAAAATGCAAGAGAACCAGAACCTCCTACCGCCGTCCCTCCAGATGGTTTCGCCCCAAAGCCAAATGCCGCCAGGTCACGGGCAACCCATGCTGTTAACACCTCCGGGAATACCTCCGCAGCACACCATCAGCCTGCAACAGTCCGATCACCACATGAAGAAGTCGAGCCCGCATGGCATTCCACACTCGCCGCTATCCCAGCACCAGAATAATCTGCGCAACTTAAACCCGCACATATCACCGAGCGTCTACGAGATGGCGGCGCTAACGCAAGACCTGGACACGCAGGTGATTACCACCAAGATCAAGGAGGCGCTTTTGGCCAACAACATCGGACAAAAGGTACGGGCGCGCGTGATTGACGACGCCCGTAACTCAATGAGTCTGTTACAGATCTTCGGCGAGGCGGTCTTGGGGCTGTCGCAAGGATCGGTGAGTGAGCTTCTTTCCAAGCCGAAGCCTTGGCATATGCTGAGCATTAAAGGTCGGGAGCCGTTCATTCGCATGCAACTGTGGCTGAACGACACGCACAACATCGAGAGGCTGCAGCTGCTGAAGAACGAGCGTCGCGAGGCGAACAAGCGACGGCGGTCCACCGGGGCCGGCGCTCACGACAACAGTTCGGACACGTCCTCCAACGACACCTCCGAATTTTACCATTCCAATTCTCCTGGCCCCGGTCCACCATCCGCGAAGAAGCAGCGCGTTCTCTTCTCCGAGGAGCAGAAGGAGGCGCTACGATTGGCGTTCGCGCTCGATCCCTACCCGAACGTTGCCACAATCGAGTTCCTGGCGACCGAGTTGGGACTTTCAAGCAGGACCATAACGAACTGGTTCCACAATCATCGGATGCGCTTGAAACAGCAGGCGCCGCACGGAATGCCGACCGATGTTCCGCCCCGAGACCAAAGCGGCAATCAGGCGCCGTTCGATCCTGTCCAGTTTAGGCTGTTATTAAACCAAAGACTACTAGAGTTATCAAAGGAACGGATGGGCCTCAGCGGAATACCCCTCCCCTACCCGCCCTACCTCTCGACCAATCCGAACCTGGCCGCGCTCATCGGCCGAGGCCTGCTGCCCTCGGGCGACATGGACCTCTCCATGCTCGGCAGCGTCGTCAAGGAGCAGATGAGCGGGCTCGACCTGTCGATGACCTCCCTGAAGCGCGAGCCGGACGACTTCGAGGACGACGTCGAGAGCAACGTCGGATCGGAGGACTCGAACATGTCGGGCAGCCTGCACGGCGGCGACGTCAAGCACGAGCCCAAGGAGACGCCTCTGGCGCAGATCGCGCGATCGTCCAGGCGGAAACCGGCGGCGCCCCAGTGGGTCAACCCCGAGTGGCAGGACGAGAAGGAGAAGCAGTCGTCGGCGGGCAACGAGGTCATCATAAACGGCGTGTGCGTAATGCAGACGGAGGACTACGGCCGAAGGAGCTCGGAGGAGACGGTGCGCGTCGAACCCACCCCCGTTATGGATAGGTTCGAGGACGACCAAAGTGACACCTCCTCGGTCAATAACGACAATGATAATGACGCGCGCGTCGAACACTGTGAGAAAGACAACGAGGAGGATAATAAAAATAGTGAGTTCGATAACGTGCACGACGATAGTGACAAACCGATTAAACACGAAAACGAAGACGAACGGTGGGATTATTGAAAAAAAAGGTAAATCGAATTAGTCCGGTCCTGGTAATGAACAGTTTTTCTATCGGGAATGCATGTGGTTGTTTCCAGTTGTTGTATAACAAAAATTAAAAAGTGCAATCAGAACGTAAAAATTACCCCAAGTTATTTATTGTGATTTAAATAGTATATTATTCAGTTTTTTGTTAATATTAAGGTTTTGACCGTTTTTATTCTTTTTTTTTCCTATTTATGTAGTTATATATAAGACTGTTACCATATTATAAAAAAAGAAGTACTATTAGCCACTTATAATCAAAAAAATGGCTACTTGCAAAGCAAAATGTTTGAAACAATGTGATACTGCTTATTATTCTATCGTTTTATCCAATTACGTGCTTTCCAAATAAAAAAGGCCAAATTGCAATTAGTTTTTAAGATCTATTTCTCTGTCGTCGATTATTTCTGATATTTATGAATATATTTAGGTGTTTTATTAGCGTTTTTAGTTTTTTTGTACATAAACGGGTTAAGAAATCCGCTAGGATAAAAGTTAGTTTTTAAAGTTATTAGACCAGCAGGATTACCATTTATTGTTATATATTGCCATTAAAAAAATGAATATTTTTGTTATATTAATCAGTTTTTTTTCTTCTAGTCTTCAAAAGATGGGCATAATTTACTTTCTTAGCCGCTGTGGCCAGTAAGTCACACGAAATGTAATTTTTGATCTGTGTTCTTAGTAGATCTCATCGATTCGTATTAGGTAACAATTCATTTCTCAGATTGAAACGTATTAGATATTAAAATATACAAAGCATATCGATAGGCGTATGAACAAATTTTGTAAAATTACTAATCCACCCATACCAAAAGATTTGTTTTTTTTTATATAATGTACGGTAGCACAAATCATCCAAAAAAAGAATCTTTAATATAGTGCAATATTTTAACATTACAACTTTATAATTCGTATATTTTTGGCAATATGTGAAAAGTATGAAATTAATGTAATTCTTCCATTTGCGTCATATTCAATGTACACACATTGCAATATAAAAAACATGATACGTAAACTCTTACTGTGGGAGTTATTAGAAAATATGTATAGATGCACATTTTTAAAAATTACATGTAGCATTACTTAGTCAGGTTTTATTTGTTGTAGACAAAAGTGTTTATATTCTTTTAAAAATGGAGTAAAGCGAACTTTCGAAACGCGAGCATTGTCACTTTCGAAAGCTCGCTTTACGGTTATTATTGTATAGTTTTATAAAATAGTGTCGGAATATTTTACTTAGATCATAGATCTGATCATTTCACAGTTGTAAATATTTATAATCATATCATTATCTCCTTTTAAAGTTTCTAAATTAAATATTCTCTGTATTTAAAATATAATGTGTCCCATTTAATCGCATCATCAGTCATCGATCACTGTACAACAGAAGGCAAAAAGTGAAACGTTCCAAAAATTGCCCACGACGAAAAATAAACAAATTAAAAAGTGAGTACATGTTTAATTGAAGCGCGAGATGAAGCGGCGCATTTATTCTATAGAAGGTAAGTATACCGATACAAAACCTGGCCGAGTCAGTTCACGCCTCCCCCTCCTGAACCTCTCATTCGGTAAGTTAAAAAAAATAAAGAGCCTTCCAATCACTTGAGAAGACGGCCGACTTGCGGTTGCTTAGTCGCCTCTTACGACACGCAGTGCCCTCTGCGGTAGGAATATTCTGTTCCGCGTCTACAGGCCAATTACAAGACAAAAAAAGAACTGAAAAGCTACACCTACTATCGCCCGCGGTAAAAGACGAAACGTGTTCGGATAATAAGAATGCGATGCGCATTTTGCAAAGATCTTGGTCACTTAAAAGAAGAGTGTAAGAAACTTAAGGGCTAGGAGCAACAAACATGCACCAAAGAGTCAGAGACCGGTGGATTTGCAGTAAACTGGAGCTGCCAAACCTAAAATTGTATGCTATGGATATGTTGCGCACCAGAGGCAGTTAGGCTAAAAGTGATTTATTAATATTTTGTAGAAAAAGTGCTAATTATTGTTCCAAGAGCGTTTTCCGAACACACATCAATTGATAAACGCAAGGTCAACACCTACCGGGCAGTTTATATAAAGAAGCTGGAAATTTCCTCAGTTTACGCGCACGTTAACGATGTATTATGACGTCATCATTAAGTATGTTTACATAGAATCATGCAATCAATGCCAGAGAATACGTATGTAGGCAGCCATACAGGCAGTGCTGCATTGACCAAGTGGAAAAAAAATGTTTCGGTACTCATTTTCAAAAACAAACAATCTCTCACTAAATCGTCCGACGTCCAAGGTCAAATACTCAATTAAGACTTCCAAAAGTACACCTATCGCTTTTACAAAATTGTCCTTCCTATATAGGCATCAAAATCTTCAATCATCTGCCTGACTACATAACATCTAAGCAATCATTAACCAAATTAAACGCAGCCTGAAATTATGGTTAAAATCACAGGAATTTTACCCATTAAAAGAGTTCCATAGCTTTCATGATACCAATCCTTAGTTCACATTTCATCATCCATATTATTTCTATTTCTATTCACATAATTAAGAAGGAAAAAAAATTATTATTTTTTAGTGACTGTATAAACCCTCTATTTTCTTCCCGACACCTGTAACAGGTTTCTTCTGTTTATTTTATAATTTTATTTATACTGTTAGTTTATTGGGTTGTACAGAAGTAGGGAATAAATCATTATTATTATTATTTGCAACAAGATGGACAAAAAAATCATTTCAATTGTTTTCGTAATAACAACGTCCGCAAATTTGTATTTAGTCCATAACTTTTGATTGAGAGGTCTGATCGAAAAAGTACGAATCGTTTTGGATTCTACGCACCAAAATTAGTGAGAAAAAGTGTTTTCCCGAGAAATTTTGGAGCAGTCGATTTTTGGTAAAAAAGGAAGGTAAACACTGCCTTTTTTGAGGCCGGAAAAAAAAAATTGTCTGAGATCGACCGGGAAAAAACATTTTCTTATAGAGTTTGGTCCGTAGAATCCATAATTTCAAACAGTTCCAAGATTGGACTACTAGATCAAAAGTTACAGCCCTTTGAACTTTATATAATATATATATATATATATATATATCTCGCACAGTACCAGGCGATATTAGGGAAACCTTCTTTGGGAGAAAAACCCTCACATAGGTCACACAAATACACGAACTAAATTAACAAAGACAACAAAAGCAAAAGAAAATCCAGAAGACATTTCAAATTGTGTAATAATAAAAATTAGATTGCGAGTTCCAGATGTAACTGCATCAATGGCTCGTTGCCTCATGTCCAAATAATTTTCTCGCCAATGTGTCGGTTATGTGTGCAAATTCCTCATATATTTTCGACGGGATCGAAAACGCAATGCTAGGGAGGCTATCGTAGTACCGCATGTCCATATTCTAATGCCATCTCATCAGTAGCATACCGTTTTGAAGGTTTAATTCTGAAATAATAAATGTTTAGTCTCGAAACTAAAAGTGGTATTACTATGCTGCACGGAATTTAAACAAACCTTGCAATAATCTCCAGCAATTCCACTATAAATAATGGAAACTCAACATTTTTATGCAGTAGCCATGTCTGTAGTTGTGCTTTATTATTCCAGGAAGAATTAGGCAAGTTTTCCAGAAGGCTACTGTCAGCATATTTTTTACATACGCATCTAAAAAATAGACTCTTGATACTGCAATATTGAGTAACTCCAGTTCAGAATCGCTGCTTGTGTGAAACCATCAACATCGCTAACGGGTTTCTACATTACCTACCTTGCTTTTTTAGGACTTACCCGATTTAGAACTAACGAATTTTTTTACCGGATAAGGTAGCAAAACGTGATAAAATAATGGAAACAGTAGCCAAAGGCAAATATGTCGCGATGAAAATGTAAACTACGACAATTTCGATTGACAGGTAACCTGAAAACAAAAAAAAACCTTTTCCTTAAAGGTTTTTGATTTTATTTTATATTATATACACTCATAAACATGTACTTCCAACGTTTACCGTGATTTATTTATTTTGTTAATACGTTGGCATTACAATATTCCCCAAAAACCGAATCACAAGTTACATTGTTTATATTGTTTACATGTAACCTATAACGTTTGCATCATAAAGTATTACCAGCATTTATTGATTTGAGGATATAATTCAGGTATTTAAAAACATACTTTTATTCAAATAAGTACATTATAACAATGATCATAGCGAAAGGACGGAAAATGTAATACAAAAGCATTAAGTAAGTACGTACATGGAAATATTTGCCAACAATGGCACTCAATTACATTGACGAGAAGTCACTTTGTACTAGTTTAATCGAAAGCTGCTACATAAATATATGCACTTCTCGACAACACCTACTGATTATTGGCCCCCATTTACCTTAAGATTTAGGAATAAACTATTTACAAACATAACAGCGTTAGACAATGTAAAAAAAATCATAAATAATAGGCAGTGAATCCTAACACTTGGGAGGCTGCCATGCGCAAATTTAAAAAAAAACATGGTACAAATTCAGACTTGCTAAATGGCCCTCGATCAACGTTTTAAAATGCAACTGGGACCGGGGTAGAGTAACTTATACATAGTGATTGGGTAACGTAACCTTTACAAAGACAATTCGAGCACTCAAAGCCCATTGGTTAGTGTAAATATCACAATTAATTTATAGTAAATACGGACGTGTCGCCGCTAGAGCTGCGTTGTAATGACGGATTTGCGGATGATCGTCTCGCTTGAGGTGACCGGGGACGAGACGACCTCGGGGGAGACGAGCCAAGGCGATAGCTTACTCAGCGATGGCAGCGGGCTGGAAGTTTTCGTCATACTCTCCTACAAATACACAGTTAACGAGAGTTCCAAACGAAATCCCGCCGTCGTATTTAAAAGATTACAGTAGTGCTCGTTTTCCCAACCAAATTGATGCATAAAACAGTTTTGAATGCGCGCTATCCTGATTTTGGTAAGAAAACTCCACTAGCGGTAACTGTAACATTTTAAATACAACAATTCCGCGAAGCTCAAGCGTCGATAACCCCCCAAGCGAACGACCCACCTGCCTGATCGGAGATCCGTCGACTTCACTGTGCGCCATCTTCTCGGCGTCCTCATTCCTAAAGGGGTTGCTGGAAAGAAACGGATTGGAAGAGTGGAACGGGTTAAAATTACTGTGGTTCTCGATAATAAAATTAATAAAAGGGTTGGAATCGGTCGGCGACTTTTTGTCGTCTAACGAGTTGAAATTGGAATCGGTGGCGTCCCGCTCGAGGCTGATCAAGCTTAGCGGACTCTTTTTCGGTTCGGGCGTGCCCAGGATGCGCTTCTCCAGTTTGCCCTCGTCGGAATTGCTAAAGAACGTCACCGTAACGGGGGTGGCGCAACGAGTCTGACTTTTAACGTCGTGCGTTTCGCCCTTGGTGAGGTTCTCAGTCGGGCCGGTCACCGATAGAGTCAACTTGTCGCCGCCCTGTGATGGGTAAGGGAAGGGGAGGGAGAAATAAAACGTAACGTTATAAAAATAATGCGACACGAGCCAACGAAACAAAAAGCGACAAAAAGATACGTACAACGGCAACAAAAGTGGCGGCGTTAAGTGAGTTTAGGTTAGCTTCGTCGTTTTGCGCGGCGGAGACGAACATCTGGTTGGTCAGTTTGGAAGCGTTAAGTTCCTCTTCGGCCTTAGCTGTAACCCAAGCGTGCTAACAGAGAAACGCGTCGTCAGTGATACGCACCTTTCAGTATGTTACACTTTAAGTTGGGCGGTATCGGACGAGAGGAATTGCCCGAAGGTTTGCTAATGTTGTTAGGAATCTCGGCGGGTAAGGGTTTAGCGTCAGCGTCTACGAAATCTACTTACACGTGTGAGAGAGACGAAAGCACCTACGTACCATCTTTGTTCACATTGCTGACCGCCTCGTTAGGATCGTCCTTCTGAAAACCGCTCAGCGTTTCCTTCGCCAAGCTCTTCAGTAGGTAATCGAGCTGACTGTCGGCGAGCGAAGCGGTTGGACTAATGGAAGGCGGTCCCAGTGTTGGCGATATCGGTTTGTTCTTCTTCAGTGTTCCATTTTTGCTGGGGGGCGATAAAATGGGACTACAAGGGGGTCAAAATTGTACTCCTCGAGAATTGCGAATGGGTAACAGACCTGTAAGTTGAGCTGCCGCCGATTGACGCTTTACCAAAGGAACCTTTGCCGACGCTTTCCGATTCAGATCCTGGAAAGAAATCCAGTTCTACAATTTAACTGTGCTCAACCCCATTCCGCCCTATCACCACATAGTTCCCACTAACCGCGTCCATCTCCTTCTACCCTCTGTCGGGTCCGTTAACTTGGCCCCCCCACTGAGAGATTTCATAGTCGTATTATTTTGAAATGAATGCGCTCGTTATGCGCTCCTATGCGCCACCGATAATAACTCTTGCGCCATTATCGTTTTTTAGAAATCCGAAAAAAACATTTGGGGGGGCCAAGTGAACGTAGCCCCCACCCCAGTACGTATTTTGTCCCTTGTAACTAGGTCACCTGATACATTTGGTTATGCGCTCAATTGCGCCACTTGAATTAAAGCTAGCGCCATTACGGTTAAGCCGTGACAAATTTTCAGAAAGTGGGGGGGGCCAACTTAACGTTTTTAAAAGTTACTTTTTTTTTACATCTTTTCATACGAAATTGTACTCTCAGGTATGCGCTGAAATGCGCCGTAAAAAGATATCTTTGCGCCATTATTGTTTTTTGGTTATCCTTAAATATATTTGGGGGGGCCAAGTGAACGGAATCCCCCATAACGCATTTTGCTACCGGTATTTGTGCCACTTGATACATCTGGTTATGAGCTTAATTGCGCCACTTGAATTAAAACTAGCGCCAATACGGTTAAGCCATAAAAAATTTTTAAAAAGTGGAGGGTCTAACTTAGCGTTTTCAAAAGTTATTTCCGGAAGTGCGTCCATTTTGAAAATATTTTACATCGTTTCGGCCTTCGGAGTAACTCCTAAATACAAATTTTTAAAAACCTACCTATTTTACTTTCTCAGAATCGTTTAACTAAAGCTCCCAAAAAAACACCCTGTATAGTATATTACGGTGCATTTTAGCGCATGATGAAAGGTACGATGTAGTAGAAAAAACATGTTAAAAAACGTAACTTTTGAAAACGTTAAGTTAGCCCCCCCCTTTTTAAAATTTTTTTATGGCTTAACCGTAATGGCGCTAGCTTTAATTCAAGTGGCGCAATTGAGCTCATAACCAGATGTATCAAGTGGCACAAATACCGGTAGCAAAATGCGTTATGGGGGATTCCGTTCACTTGGCCCCCCTCAAATATATTTAAGGATAACCAAAAACAATAATGGCGCAAAGATATCTTTTTACGGCGCATTTCAGCGCATACCTGAGAGTACAATTTCGTATGAAAAGATGTTAAAAAAAAAGTAACTTTTAAAAACGTTAAGTTGGCCCCCCACTTTTTGAAAATTTGTCACGGCTTAACCGTAATGGCGCTAGCTTTAATTCAAGTGGCGCAATTGAGCGCATAACCAAATGTATCAGGTGACCTAGTTACAAGGACAAAATACGTACGGGGGGGGCTACGTTCACTTGCCCCCCCCCCAATGTTTTTTCGGATTTCTAAAAAAACGATAATGGCGCAAGAGTTATTATCGGTGGCGCATATGAGCGCATTCATTTCAAAATAATACGACTATGAAATCTCTCAGTGGGGGGACCAAGCTAACGGACCCTAAACCCCCCTCTGTCGTATTTTGAAAATTTTGATAGCGGCCGCCATAGTTAAAAATAGAAATGTGAAGTGAGGGGGGGGGGGCGCTATAGGCTCAAATTTAAGTGTATATCCTGGTGGTGACACTTTTCCCCACGAAACTTTTAGCCTTCGGGACTCATATGGTGATTCTTGAAAAAAACTCGTCAGATCGTCGTCTCCTAAAAAGTAGGTATTGCAGGGAACATAGCATGGGGGGTGTAGGGGGGGCAGCGAGAGAGCAGGAAGATTCGACGATAATTATATAACACTTAGTACTCTTATGATGACTTTTTTGAAATGTGAAATGGCAATAGGACCATCGTCTGCTGGAGGGGGGGTATAGAATACCCCCGGTCATACTTTTCCCCACAAAGCTTTCTGCCATCGGGACTCGTATGCTGCTTTTTACGACGTAGATATTGCAGAGAATACAATTTGTGCCCCCCCCCCCCTATCAGCGAGAGAGAAAGAAGATTCGATGATAATTATATAACACTCAGCACTCTCATGATTACTTTCGAGAAATAGCAATAAAACGATAATCTGCTGGGGTGGGGGGGGGGGGATTCAATATCCCCTAACCCTCGGTAACACTTTTTTCCCTCAGGATTCACATGGTGCGTTTTAGAAATGGATATCAGGTTGTCCCCTACTAAGAACATAGTACCAGGGCGTCTGGAATACCCCCTAGCGGGAGAGATAATAATCTGCTGGGGTGGGGGGGGGGGGGGATTCAATATCCCCTAACCCTCGGTAACACTTTTTTCCCTCAGGATTCACATGGTGCGTTTTAGAAATGGATATCAGGTTGTCCCCTCCTAAGAACATAGTACCAGGGCGTCTGGAATACCCCCTAGCGAGAGAGAGATACAGGATGTCAATCACACATACCTTTGGGTAACTTCGTATCCTCGGCGATTTTACAATAAACGGGCTCAGCGTCGGTCGTGTTCGTCGCGTTGGATCGCGTCGAGCAGCGACTCGCCGCCTCCGCGCCCTCCACCTTGGACGCCTCCTTCTGCTGTCGCTCCCTTAAGACGTGACTTTGCCGTCGACCGTACCTCTGACTCGGCCGCCTCTCCAGCTGAACGGTGCGTCGCGCCCTCGCCTGGTGCGTGCTCTGGTACTCCGTCCGGCCCGAGTAGCGGAACCTCGAGCCCATTCGAAAAAAATTCTGCTTCGCCGAGTTGGAGCGCGGCGCCGCCTTCAGGCGGAAGAAGCCGTGATGCTCGACGGCGCACTTCCACAGGTGCTTGCACGCCTTTTCGTTGTGGAGACGAAAGACGAAGGTGTGCTCCTGCTCGCGGCCCTGATCGTCGTCCTCGACCACGACGAGGGTGAGCTTCTTCTTCTTGAAGTTCAGCTTGCCGATCTTCGGCCAGAAAAATAGGCCGATCTTTTGCGAGCCTTCGAACACTAGAATTCCGGTCGGTGTAAGGCCGAGGTGGTACTCCATGCCGTCCTTTCCCTACAAGTTGGATGTTAAGCAGATCCGATGGTTAGTGTAAAAAATATCATAGTGAGACGACTTTGCGAAGACAAAAGGAAAATAAGATGGCGCTTTTTGGGCAAGATTAAGTACCTACGGCTAAAGTCAAGTATCAAAACTAAGCTAAGCTAAGCATCAGGTACCTTTACAGAAGAAAATTTGCCTCCTCCTTCCTTTACAAAAATAATCTGCACTTGTGTTAAACTTCGGCGATAACACGTCCTTATCTTGAAACTAATTAGCTTTACAGCGATAAGAAAACTTCTTATCTATGATCCGAGAAAAACATGAGATAAACTTTTACAAATAATTTCCAGATGTCTTTTAACACGTAATTTAAATGTACAATTACCAAAACAAATTAAAACATCATTAATTCTGATACAAAACATTGACCTCGAAATCAAATAATATATCTAACACAGGGTGGCCCATCACAACACGTCCGTCTATCGCAGTTTACACAACACTTCTAAAATGACGAATTAAGCAGTCAACAAAAAGAATCAAACCTCAAATTACTACTTAAATTAAGTAAAGTAAGTTCACTTACCTATTAACTGAAGGGAATTATTGTGCAACCAAAAGATTTTAAAACCTACAGCCTACAGGCGTTTTCATTGCATAAATTGAAGTCGTGTTTGGCCAAGGACAGAGTAATTAAACGCACTGAGTTATTTTTCGCTACAAAAAATTCAGTAAATTGAAAAATAAGCGGCAAATGACGTCAAGTTGTAAGATGTCAAATCGCAGAAAGTATGAGCTGACAGGTTTTGTACCTGTCAATAGACATTTGCGATCTGTCAATTGACGCTTACTATCTGTGAATCGACACAACACCGTTTTTAACCACCGATCAGCAATTTAGCAGGTTTGTAACCGATCCCATGGTGATATTTAAATTATTGTTCCAGATCCCGGAAGTAACAATGGACATTACTGGAATTTCAAATTGAGAAATTTTAACCTGGCTAATTAAGTAGGCATAATTACCGGTAGCTAATTAAATATGTTGCAGTAAATGGCGTGTGATCAGGTTGTGTTTAGTGTCAGTGGAAGCGCGCTAAAATATCAGGATGTTTAAGTCATGTTCCAGATTTGTAGCATGCGAGGGAGCCGTGAAATTAAAGAAGTTTTAATTTTCCCGTGCTGATCGGACAAATCGTTTGTAATTAACGTGAAGTTAAAACTTCGGGTGGAAACACCTGAAGAACGAAATGTCAAAAGAGGGTAAGTGGAGGGTCTGGATTACCCACTGCTCTCAGTAAACGCCCATAATTTAACCCACAGTGAATTCGAAAGTGAGAGTTTCGGAATGGTAACAATCGCCTTCGAAATCTGCAGTAACCTGATACCTCCCTGTAGTATTTTATATTTAGAACACACAATTCAGTTATTTATAAACAAAAAGTCCAATGTTGAAGGAAAAATATCAGAATGGTCGAAATCAGAGTTGACTGTGGTCAAAATAAATGATCATGATGCTGCCACCTAGTGCCCAGTCATCCAAATTACAGATTCAATGTAGCGCCTCCTATTGGCTCGACCCTCAGTTAGAATGCCTTCAGATTACTGTGAAAAAAATTAAAAAAGGCACACATATTTTGAAACTTTTGGGGTTGTAGTTCCCCAAAGAAACATTTTGAACTCCCAGGGATATACCCTGCATAAATAATACTTAACTCGTCCATTTCGCTGTATTTATTCCAAGGGACACCTAGTTTGTGTAACGAAACTATTGCCATCTATATGTAAGTAGTGGTACCTTAATAACAATTGCCCACCATTACCAAAAGAACAATTTCGACACGGTTGTCTCAGTATTCTATTCTTTACACTAAGCCCAACGCGAGCGTTACCGCTTACCAAAACCGTATGCATGTCGACACCGTACATCTCCAGCCACTTCACCTTGTTTAGGAAGTTCGACTCCGCCTGCGCCGGTGTCAACCCGACACACCTCTTGTACTCTTCCAGGATTTCGATCTCCATTTCCTCCGTCTGGTTCGGAATGAAGCGGAATTCGGAAACGGTCGCCGCCGTATGCTGGGTCTCATCGTAATCGCCGAGCTCGGCTAAAACATCAGTTAAAATAAGGCACGCGATCGGATCGACGGCTTACATTGCAACGCAAGGGCGAACAGCTCGACGGCCGTCTGCTGGGGACACTCGAGTCTGCCTTCCAAAATGTCCTGCTTGAGCTGGAGAAAGAACTGGTACCTCGTCAGTTCCTCGCGTAAATTGTTCGGTTCCGATGAATAAAACTTCACTTTCAATCTTAAGGTGTAAGGGGGGCCAACTGAAACAAATTCGTTAATCTCAAACGCGTACACGCCACCGCACCTACTTTTAATCTGTTTCTTAATCGGTTTCGTCGGATCCAGCCAGTGTTTCACGTGATTAACATCAGTGAATTGCAGACCGAAGTAGTCTTTCTCAATCAAGTCCAACGAATAGAAAACCTGCTCGTATAAATCGCCAGCCGCGGCCTTCTTCTGCAAGACAATTGGAGAGAGGTTCACACGATGAAGAAATCGATACACTGTGAGAAAATAGGGCGAAATCCGCCCATACCTACCGAAAGATCGACGGACAGATCGGTCCCATCTAGCAATATCACTTTGCACTGTATCAAATTTCGGTTATGAGAGTGTTTCGTGAAGACTTTCAAATCCCTGGTACCATTTTTGGGCGAATTTCGATCTTTTCGTCCGCTTAAAAAACGAAACATTTTGGCACGTAATATACATTAAGATTTGTTTTTAACGCAATTCACTACGATTTCACTTTTCACTCGGTTAATAATTATTTTACCGTTATTAAATTAATTCTTGGAAGTACACACATTTGTGTACCTAGAAATGTCGGCCATTACTATTGTTACTGTTGGTGTTGCAAACTGTTACATGCGAAAAGTTACTAAATTCCACCAGAACTTGGTACTGAAAGTAAAGGTCGATTTACACTTCATCACTTTCAAGGCGGCAATACACGACTGAAGATTATTTGTTTGGAACGTGCCTTTTGGGAATATTCCCGATTCGATGGTTTATATAAAACACTAGCACGAGAGACCTTAGGGCTGAACTTTTGAGGAATAACGTACCACCGGTGGGTATTCCATACCCCCCAGGAACAAACAAAGATTTAATATGTTCATTTTCCTGCACCTATCACAAAGCGTTCGGGCGCTGGGGCTATTCCATAAATCCATACCCCCCCAAACCTCCCGCTTCTACATTCTTTCCCAACCGTATAGTATACCCATACGACTTACACTATAATTTTTGGAAAGGGGCCATCCAACGTCACCAGAAGTTTGTGGAGTATGGAATCTTCGTCAGGAAAGCAAGATTTGATGGTCCTTTATCGTACGCCCCAGGAAAAAAGGAAAGATTCAGTGTTATTTTCTCCTGAAGCTCAAAACAGTTACAAGGGTAACTGAAAGCTCTCCAAATCCTGGAAATCTCGTTCGTCATGTGCATATAGCTTACGCTAAATAAAGATAAATAAAAAAGACCGTAAAAATTGCACAATTGCCATTATGGAGTAATAATAATTGAAAGCACCACTGTAAGGTGTAATTTGAAACGCCCTGTACATAGGGTAAAATGTTAGTGGATTTTTAAAATTCTAGGGAATTTTGTGTTTAGTTTAGTAAACTAAACTGAGGGTCGAGCCAATAGGAGGCGCTACATTGAATCTGTAATTTGGATGACTGGGCACTAGGTGGCAGCATCATGATAATTTATTTTGACCACAGTCAACTCTGATTTCGACCATTCTGATATTTTTCCTTCAACATTGGACTTTTTGTTTATAAATAACTGAATTGTGTGTTCTAAATATAAAATACTACAGGGAGGTATCAGGTTACTGCAGGTTTCGAAGGCGATTGTTACCATTCCGAAACTCTCACTTTCGAATTCACTGTGGGTTAAATTATGGGCGCTTACTGAGAGCAGTGGGTAATCCAGACCCTCCACTTACCCTCTTTTGACATTTCGTTCTTCAGGTGTTTCCACCCGAAGTTTTAACTTCACGTTAATTACAAACGATTTGTCCGATCAGCACGGGAAAATTAAAACTTCTTTAATTTCACGGCTCCCTATGCTACAAATCTGGAACATGACTTAAACGTCTTGATATTTTAGCGCGCTTCCACTGACACTAAACACAACCTGATCACACGCCATTTACTGCAACATATTTAATTAGCTACCGGTAATTATGCATACTTAATTAGCCAGGTTAAAATTTCTAAATTTGAAATTCCAGTAATGTCCATTGTTACTTCCGGGATCTGGAACAATAATTTAAATATCACCATGGGATCGGTTACAAACCTGCTAAATTGCTGATCGGTGGTTAAAAACGGTGTTGTGTCGATTCACAGATAGTAAGCGTCGATTGACCGATCGCAAATGTCTATTGACAGGTACAAAACCTGTCAGCTCATACTTTCTGCGATTTGACATCTTACAACTTGACGTCATTTCCGCTTATTTTTCAATTTACTGAATTTTTTGTAGCGAAAAATAACTCAGTGCGTTTAATTACTCTGTCCTTGACCAAACACGACTTCAATTTATGCAATGAAAACGCCTGTAGGCTGTAGGTTTTAAAATCTTTTGGTTGCACAATAATTCCCTTCAGTTAATAGGTAAGTGAACTTACTTTACTTAATTTAAGTAGTAATTTGAGGTTTGATTATTTTTTGTTGACTGTTTAATTCGTCATTTTAGAAGTGTTGTGTAAACTGCGACAGACGGACGTGTTGTGATGGGCCACCCTGTGTTAGATATATTATTTGATTTCGAGGTCAGTGTTTTGTATCAGAATTAATGTTTTAATTTGTTTTGGTAATTGTACATTTAAATTACGTGTTAAAAGACTAGATTTATTCATCTGGAAATTATTTGTAAAAGTTTATCTCATGTTCGTCATGTGCATATAGCTTACGCTAAATAAAGATAAATAAAAAAGACCGTAAAAATTGCACAATTGCCATTATGGAGTAATAATAATTGAAAGCACCACTGTAAGATGTAATTTGAAACGCCCTGTACATAGGGTAGAATGTTGGGGAATTTTTAAAATTCTAGGGAATTTTGTGTTTAGTTTAGTAAACAAAGTTCAATCTTTTTGACTTTTCTTTAGAAACTTTAAACAAATTTTCTATTTATTTAAAACAATGCATTAGCGTCGAATTAAATTATTTATTTTAAGTTACTCGTTTCTCCATTTCTTTTCGAGTCAAAATGCAACGTTTTCGTACTTCGTCCAGAAATTTTAGCGAAGCAAAATTAGATCAGCAGGTTTCCTTATCATTTTGTGTGATTAATCCATTTTAATCGTACAATTTTAGCCCATTCTCGTACAGGCGATCTTCTCGAGTGAGCTTGACTCCGTTCGGTCGGTGCTAGAATGTCCGGTCGACGTGAATTGCAAAGATAAGGACATGCGAACGCCCCTGCACGCCGCCGCCTTCGTGGGCGATCCCGAGATCGCCGAGCTGCTGATCAAGAATGGCGCTCGCGTCAACTGCAAGGATTTCTGGTTTAATACGCCGTTGCATTTGGCCTGCTGCGGCGATTCGCCGGTAAGCGTTTCGTGCGAGCGTACACTTTAACATTCACGTTAATTTCAGTTGATGGTACAGCTCCTAATCGATCAGCAGGCTACCGTGTTCGCCAAGAACAGACACGGGCAGACTCCACTGCATGTGGCGGTCGCCAGCAACTCGTACGAGTGCTGCGAATGTCTCCTGAATCATACCGCCAGCGTGGCCGATATAAATGCGGTCGATCAATTTGAACGTACCGCCATGCATAACGCGGCGAGGAATGGCAAGCCCAATATTATCGGATTGCTTATAACGAAAGGTAGGGCGGGCATGTAGAACCTCATTTGTCTAGGCAAATAGCGCCAACTGGTGGCCGTGAACAAATCTAATCGTTTCATCTTTGCTTACTGTTAAAAATTCTCCCTGGCGGCTATTGGATTATTGCATGATCACTATTAAATACATTGAGACCAATAATATGGACTCGTATTTCATAATGTGAAAAGGTTAAATATACAGGGTCTGGCAATAGTAGTGGAATAGACAATATTTCAAATTCAATTGCGTGGAACAAAGGTCCTTTTGCGCATGCGCGCACGTGCGCTAGGTAAGCATCACAATCAAGAAGGCTGGTTTTGCTCGTGCGCGCATTTTTTATGACATCGGAGCTAGCCGAGCAGAGCCTTTTGTGAAATTTCAGAATAATCTCTACAAAATACCCCGACATTTTAAAAAAGTTGACCCTGCGCATGCGTATACGTAATTCTCAAGGTTGATTAAAATGTCAGAACGCAGAAAGTTGTACTGCGCATGCGGATGCTAATCCTTTATGTTAATAATGACGTCTTTCTGCGCATGCGCACACTTCTTCCTACACAATTTATATAATACTGTTTGTTATTGTTGCTGGTCCGTCCGGTTGTAGCAAAACGCATGCGCTGAACCAATTGTTTGGTTGTGTAACAATTTTCGCGAAATGTTGAGCGTGCATGCGCATGAAGTTCACATTTAATGATTGTTATAGGTTGCCTTGTGAACCCGTGTGACACAAGATTTAATCGACCACTCCATTTCGCCGCTTGCACTGATAATCTGGACGCCGTTCAGCTTTTACTGCGTGCAGGAGGCGACATTAACGCGAAGGATCGCAACCAATGTACGCCCTTGCACCTCGCGGCGGCTTGCGGCGTAGTCGGCACCTGCCGGCTGCTGATAAGCGAGGGCGCGCAAGTGGACGCGAAGAACGCGTACGGCAACACGCCGTTGCACATGGCCTGTCTGAACGGTCATCCGGACATTTGCGAGGTCTTGATATCGTGCGGCGCCAACATCGAGGCAACCAATCACCGCGGTCGGACGCCGCTGCACATCGCGGCGGCGAGCTCGCAGGGCGTCGATTGCCTCAACTACCTGGTCGAAAAACAGGTGAACATCAACATGCAGAGCTTCGACGGACGAACGCCGCTGCATATGACGGCGATTCATGGCCGCTTCACGCGGAGTAAAACCTTAATTGACAAAGGGGCCATCGTCGATTGCGTCGACAAGAACGGCTGCACGCCGCTGCATATCGCCGCGCGGTACGGTCACGATTTGCTCGCGAACACGTTACTATCGTTCGGCGCCGATCCACTTCGGAAAGGCTACGAAGGCCGAACGCCCTTGCATATGAGCTGCATGTCGGGATATATCGAGTGCTGTCGCAAACTGTTGCAGATACAGGGCGTCGACTTGAACACGACCGACGATTCGGGGAAAACCGCCCTGCATTACGCCGCGTATATCGGGTAAGTTAAACATCGTTTAATAACCCATTCGCTCACTTTCGCTTCTAGATCGCCGGAGTGTATGGACTTACTTGTAAGTAACGGGGCCGCTTACAACATAACGGACAAGGTCGGCCGATTACCGTTGCACTATGCGGCGGTTAAAGGTCACTACCAGTGCGTTTTTACGCTCGTCGGTTTAGGGAGCGCGGTAAATTCGTGCGACGTTGAGGGATGCAGCGCTCTGCACCTGGCGTCGGCCTATGATCTGTGGGGAGAGTAAGTACTCGGGTGTACGATCAAGGTTATTTCGTGGCTGAAAGCTAGTGATTTTTGATCATATCCAGAAACTACACTAGGGCACTAGGCACATCTAAGTCTCCGTACGGTGTTTTTGGTCACGTAAAACCCATTAAGATAGTATTATCGCTCGCTAACGCCCGACAGACTGTCGCCCGTAACGCTTTTAGGGTCGTATTGATTCTGAGACAAATTGGTCAAACCCTGATATGGAGACTGGGCTTAACTAATAGGCGGCAGATTTGTTTTGT